AAAAACTGCTTTAAAATTAAATAGTAGTGTTGTCCTTGGACTTAAAGTATAGGCGGTCTTACTGGGAAATAGTAGCATTGGGTATGATGCATCAACATTTTCTTTACCCTCTCCAAACTCATTTTGAAAGAAAATCGTATTTAAGCTTTAAAATTTGTATACTGACTTGAAATATTTTATATACATGTTCAAATGTTATAGGTACTTTTAAAAAATAATTAACAAACAAAATAATTTAAGATTTTAAGAAGCGCCTACTAAGCATGGAGTGGAACCAAATCTGTTCGTCTTATTAAATCGCCGCGATTTTTATCAACCAATTCTCTTACATTTGTGTACCAAACACCTGCAGATAAAAAATAAAGAAATTTTAATAATAACCACTCTAGTTAGCATTAACGAATATCTTACCAATTTTAGTATTTTTCATGCAATCCCCAAAAGCTTCACATCCTTCCATACTGTTAAGTACTCCGAAAACTGCTAGATCTGCAAGATTTGGCTGCTTACCACCCATGAATTTCTGCTTGCGCTTCTCCAGCTCGTTAGTCCACTTATTTAGTGCGTCATATATATGTGATCGCACATCGTCGGAAAGGCCATGTCGGCGCTTCAACATCTTACTTATACCCCACATTGCAACAGCACCTACGTTAACCATTAAGTTACGTTCCCATTTGGGAAAGTAAATATCCCATTCTCCAGCCTTCGAGAACCATTCAAAGGTTTCACGGGCTTCTCCTAAAGTGCGGTAGCAATTCGGCGATATTAGATGCACGAGGTGGGAATCCGCCCATGTGCGCCATTTACGCTCGTTTCTAAAACAAGAATGCAAATTAGTTAAATAGATAAATTGTAGTTATTCCCCTTGACTTAGTTATCGCATCTAGATACTTACTCCTGCATGTCTTGAGTTACATTCTTTGGTGTTTTATCTTGATACATTAGGAAATATTTGTTTAGTATGTCAAGCCGTTTTTTGGAGTCGTCATCGAAAAAGGATATGGCAGGGTAGAAACTTGCAAGATATCCTATATCGGTATCCTTGTCATTTAAGTAAGAAGCCAATAGCGAGATGATAGCGCTGGAGTCTGTCATCTGTATATAATGTCCATCGCCTTGTTGCACCAATATCATAGGAACTTTCTTTTGGTCGGACCATTTGATATCTTGTCGCAATACTGCATCCACTTCAACCACTGAATACGATATGCCCATGTAATCGAGGAAAGCTCGTACCTTGCAACAGAACGGACACGTTTGGTATTGAAATAGTATTATATTCAAATCGGAATCATCAAGTGGATTAACGTATTTCTTGGTTATCCTGACATCGGGTAGCTTCCTTAGAATTTTCGGCGGTATGCGTTCATGTTCCATATGCGAATTCTTGTCCCTCCAATTTCCATATATTGAATATGCCGTACCAGAAGCAGCACCAATGCCTGCACCAATAAGTGCTAACTTAAATGTACTTGTCCCTTGTGGTTTCGGCGTAACAGGCGAGGCATAATGTCTGCAGGGTGGCCCAAATGAGCGATATAAAGGCAACGTGTTCCTGACGTTTGAGCGCGATCCACAATGTGTCCCCAAGTGCCGACTAATTGCAGCTCGTAGAGTTGACATTGTTGTTGATTTTATCACCACAGTGTGTTACTTAATACCCGGCGGAAAGATTTGCTGAAACCACAATTAATCTCGAGCTGGCCTTCCTATCGATCAGCTGCTCTACGGCCCTTGGTGATGCCACTGCAGTTATGTCAATCGGTGACATTTAAAGAAAAACACATTCACCATAATTTGGAGGTATTTGAAGTTTTTTTAATTTACATTTTTTGAATTAAACTTAAAATAATTGCCAAAAGAAGGAGTAAAGTTTATTTTTCCATTTATTCCAGTTAGCTCTTATTTTAGACAGTAAATACACACTTCCAGTGTCAGTAACAAAATTTTCTAAAGGCATTTTTCTTAAATTTTCTAATACAACAGTTTCGGCATTTTTTTTTATATATCAGTGAGAAAATAACGTAGGGCAATCCAAATAAAGCATCGACGGGCTTATCAAGACTCATATTCATTAAGGACACGCAAAAAATGCACATATCAGGAAAGGAATGTCGTAACTTTTTGTATCATGGAAAAAAGTTTGTAAGGATTATAAATAGTATCAAATTCAATCATTAATTTTTTAAATATTTATTTCCAAGCCCCCACGTGCAGTTCCTGCCTTTACATATCAGGCGCTGCAAAAAAATACCATAGTGGAATCACCACCAAGGTGAGCTTTATCGGTTCTACATAACTTATGAAATGCAAATTCTTTTCGTTTAATGTTCGCAAAGGATTTATTTATATAAAAAAAGACCTGTAAAAGAGACACTTTTCAAAATGTATTTTCGTCGTGGTGATATACCAGTAGCCAAAGGGATTAAGGGCAGTGGAAAGGGTACTTCAGGAACAGTTAAATGGTTTTGTGATCCAAAGGAACTCGATTACTGTTACTATTTGCCAATATTTGTAGATGGGTATGTAATGGCTCATAATAAAGATATATATATTTTTTTAAGATTTTATAATTATACATTTTAAATTTAGTTTGGCAGATATTGATGTCGACATACGTTTATTGGCACAAGAAGCTGCCATGGATTTAATACTGAAAGCACCACACAAAATATTACCGGTACTACCAAAGCTTATTCTTCCATTGAAAAGGGCATTCAATACGCGTGATAAGCGAATTATTATATCAGCTTTAAAAGTACTACAGACTATGGTTTTAGTTGGTAGGTTAGCACTTTAGATTCTAAAGTTGAGAAGAGCAATGCAACCTAAAATGTTTAAATAAATTTTATTCATTGTAGGACCATGTGTAGGACAAGCTCTTGTGCCATACTATCGCCAACTTTTAGCTGTTTGTAATTTGTATAAGAACATTAATGTTAACCTTGGCTCAGGTGTGGACCCTGACCGTAGTCGCCGCATTGGAGATGTAATTGAAGATACGCTTTCATTGCTAGAAACTTGTGGCGGACCAAACGCATTTATCAATATTAAATACATGATTCCAACCTACGAGAGTAGTACCCATCCGATATGTGACAAGTCGGCAGATAAAACTGGTGTTGAGGCAATCAAATGAAATAGGCTTGATTTGAGTATTAGTAGTAATAGAGGTTTACAAGCAAGCCGGAAATTATAAAGTTTAACCTCTACGTACAAACTTATACACGTTCATAAGTATCTTCAAATACATAACAAATTTAAGTAATACTATTTTCGAAATTTCGCAGCTGTTGTATTCTTCATTACTACAATGGATGTAAAATTTAAGGGACAGTTTAAATTTCAGTCCTGCTTGTTTTAGGCTGATTAAAATAGATTAGTAGTTTGACATTATATATTATTTACATATACACATATATTTGATGCTCTTATTGCCAGGCATAACTGTAATGTATCGAAAAACAGACAAATTCAAAATTAAGAACCGTTAAGTATTCAGATTTTTATTTCGATAAATAAGATTTTGCAAGTTTGTTGTAAAAAGTAGACTTTTGAAAGCAAGACTTAATTTATATTAATTTTATAAAAATGCTTGACCGGATACGCATGTTAGCAAAAATATGGCCTACCAAAACGTGAATGCTCCGGTTTGGACCTGAGATGGGTTAAACTGACCGGAAGCCCTTTTGTTTTTTAAATGGGACTGTGCCTTTATGGGACTATGCAGATTTGGATTCTGGTTCGAACTTCCGGTCAGTTTAATCCATTTGCGGTCGAAACCGAAAACCGGAAAAAACATTACCCAACCTATGAGAGGGGTGTACGGGTGGTATGGGACACCCTGTATAATTTGATTACTCAAAGCTCAATATATAAAAAGTGCTAAAAATATTTAAGAGATTTTGCAAAAAACAAACATATTTATGTTTATCTCACTTCAACCCTATACCCATGGGTTAATGAGAACTATTGTAGTTGATTGCATCAAGTAAGAAGAAGCACGCTATGTGCTAAAAAATTTCGCTTGTATACAAACAAATTTGTAAATAACTAAACAAGTATTAATTTTCTACAATGAGCACAAATACTTTCGGAAATGGTCTAGGATTAGACAAATATAGCAGTGAAGATTTCTTCAATATGCTTTTGCGTTATGGATTATTTGCAGGAGCTATATTTCAGCTTTTTTGCATCGGAGCATCGATTTTACTACCGCCAACTTGCGAAGAGTCAATTTGTGCAGAGGCAAATGAGGTATAGAATCAAAAGTGCATTAATAAAATGCTATTTATGTATGTACGTACAAATAAATTATAACTTTTACTTTTTACGAAAGGAATGCAAGGTTCACGGCGAAACGGCCAATAATATACGACAACAACAGCGGTTGCACAAAGTACGCAAGCAGGAAAAAAAGAAACGGCGCTGATTTCAGCTTCTCCAACATACCTACATACATATATACAAACATGCACAAATATGCTGTTAAATAATATAATTATTTAGATTAATAACATGTCAATATGCTTCGAATTATTTTATATGTATATTTAATTAGAGTATAGATTTATTTGCTGATTATATGCTTGACATATTTGCTGATCATGCAAAATAAAATGCTGCATTTACCTGTTCAATACGCTAATAATATTCCAGTATGTATTTACACGTGTAAGCTTCTTATCTGCATTTGTTAATAAACTAACCGTACACAGTAGAATGCAACTGATTCATTAAAAAAATTATTGGTACTGTGGGACCGACGCCAATTTCATTAGTTGACGAAAACGGCGTCAAGCGTATGTTTATTGCTCATTAGCAAACGGCAATAACTTAAAATAACTCTTAACTAATAGCTAATAAATCTAACGGACATGTATGAAAATATAATTTTAGCTCATTTTGTAAATTACCACTTTTAAGAAAACAAGTTTAGTGTTTTTATGTTCTTCGCACGTACTAGTTTTATTTCAAATATGTTCTTTGCACTGTTATTACTAATACTAAAAGGAGATGCATCGATTTGTAGGTCAAATTAAAATGTGTATATAAACAAATATATATGTATGTACATATTCCTTCTTTTTTTAAGTTATTGCTTGCAACGATGAACAAACCACTGATTGCGGTATCGTATCTGATTGTGTGGTAGAAAACACAAAAATTTGCGCATTGGGCAAGCAAACTGTTTGCTTCAGATATTTTGAATCTATGTGTCATCTAAAGTATGAGGAATGCAAAAAACAACAAGGTTTGTGTCTTATTTTATCGTGTTTTTAATGAAAGTTAATCCTCATTTCCAGAGTACATCGTTTTTTTGGACGTATACTGTGAGAACCCAGCTTTTATGTGCAGTAAAGAAGATGAAGATTTTGATTGAGTGATTAAAAGGAGTTAAAATATATTTATATGTATCTACATGTATCTACTTAGTTAGTGTATAAGCGCACCGCTCAAAAATTTTTGTAACTACATATGTATGTGTGTTTGTATATGCACACAAGTAATTTATGCAAATAAACACACGTTTTGAGATAATCTTATCTGATGCGGATATGAATTCGTGGGGCGCCTTTAATTTCTACATATGTTCTATATTTATTGTTGGCAAACAAGGAGATCACTTAAAAAAAGAATACAAAAAAATAATGTTAATTGAACGAAGTCCACCAAAACTAAATCTCTTCTTAAATTATATGTAATGACTTTTCGTATTTTTTACCATTAAAAAATTTGCATGAAAAAGGTCTTACCAATTGAAGTTCCACGAATCTCTGTCACTAGGAAAACGTACTCGCACACAAACTGGCAGTCTCAATCATATTCGTGAAAACGAGGCTTGTACTGATTGATCTCTAGTAACAACTACTTTTTTCTCCAGTTTTCTTCTCTTCTATCTACCAAAAAATAAAAATAGGGTCACACTAAAATATTGCATGAATTCAAAATTTATCATTTTTGCGAGGAATCTGTACGTACATATGTCGATATTCCCTTTGAATAAATAGCTCTAGTATTTATTGATTTATCGAAGATTTCGTATTTCTCTAAATTACCGTTATATGGGATGTGGGCGTGGTTATTGTCCGATTGTAAAAATTTTCAGCCGTTTGGTATGTTGTACCAAGGCCAAAAACTGTGGGAAGAAATTGGAGGAGCGGTTACCGTGATATACACATGCAATCATAAGTGGGCGTGGCTCATTTTCCAAAAAAATATAATATTCTTATTTCTCCGCTAAAAATCATTGTAAATATAAATTTTGAGCGAATAAGCTTCAGTAGTTACTAAAATATCGCAGTTTCGTATTTCTGAAAACTACCGTTATATGGGGGGTAGGCGTGGTTATTGCCTATTTTCAATACCATCCGTCCTACGCTAAAAAGAAGTACACATACCAAGTTTTGTTAAGATATCTAAATTTTTACTCGAGTTATCGTGTGCACAGACGGGCAGACGGACGGACAGACAGTCACCGCTTAATCGATTAATTTTTTTATCCTGATCATTTATGTATAAATTTCTCTATATCTATCTCGATTCGTTTCACCTGTTACAAACAACCGTTATGTGAAAAAATTTATAATACCCTTGTGCACAAGTGCGCTCGGGTATAAAAAGTCTCTCAGTGCAAAAGTCCCTATTTGATAGTTTTTCGGATATGTGAATTTTCACATTTTCTCTTAGACACACCGTTATACTAAAGTTCAAAACCATGTCTTAAAACGGCGGGTGTTTTTAGCATCCTTAAAAAGCTCAGTTTGCATTTGCTTTAAAAGTTCTAATGGGACTTTTTGCTTTACTGGTGACGAAGGTGGTATCTCAATGAAGATCCCATACTGATTTGGTTTAGTTGCGATCATTGGATCATGAACAAATTAACAGTACTTCTAAAGTTGTATATGAACATTGAAGTCGGTTGTAGCTTTTGCTTAAAAATTACTTGTTTATGAATAAGCCCATAACCCTTTTCCACTTTGCTTAGCAACTATAGCAAGAAAGACTTGGACCAAACAAAAAAAGGAAGCCAACCAAGGCCTGATGATAGCTCTGTCCTCTGGTTAACATGTTTTGATTATGTTTGTATCAGTTTTCAGCAATTATTTTTTTTTTGTTTAAGGAAAAAAGGAGGCTAATAACTTTGATGTTATGACATTCTTCCAGGAAATGGGGGATTTTAAATTTTTTTCCCGTGTATGATAACTGATAACGATAATAGGTGATACATCGGTTAGAAGTGTAATTAGAATAATTTTTGAATGTAGTTATTATTCAGCCGCGCTCCAAAGCTTACGTACATACACACACATACACATGCACATACTTACAAAACTAAGTGCAATAGTTTAACAGAACCTCAAAGATGGTCTCACTGGCAAATGGATTTTTTCTACTATTAGTTTGTTTGTGAAATAAATTTACATATTTAATTGCTCCTAATTTTGTGTTAGAAATGCAAACTAAATTCGTAAATGAACTTTCTAACTTATAGGCTCGCTCAACAGTTGCGTGGAGTTTTGCGCCAATGCTTCCAATATACCAAAACCGCCTGCAAAAAAGGCTATATCGCCTATTGAACCGAAACCTTGCGAAGCAGTGAGCAAATGTGTTGTGGATGCAAATACCGAGCCTGTATGCCGGTATGATGACAATGAGGGCTGCGTACGGAAATATGAGTCATTATGCCATTTGAAAATAGCAGCTTGTAAAGCTAAAAAGGGTAAGTATTTATGCAAATCATGAGCATCATAAAATATGACAGTTCAAATAAAGCAAAGCTTATCTCGTTTACAACTTGCGATAAACACGTAAAAATATTTGGATGTTTTTTATATGTATGTATACAGATTATGCAGATTACAGCAACATCTACTGTTCAATGGAGACATATTTGTGTGAAGAGGGTTACGGGCGTTGGACGATATTTTTTGGATATGAAAAAATTGTGGAAAACTTAAAGATAAAATAAATTAGCTGCTTAACGGTTATTAGTGCAGCAGCAACTTAGTGAGTGATAACGTGCAAATATATATGTATGCATGTACATACATATGTATGTAGACAGGTGTAAGTAAGTACATACATATACAGGTGTCCATATTTTGTAATAGGTAATGCTAGCAAAAAAACAAATCAATTAATTTATTTAAGAAAAATTCTTAAACACATGCAATGTATGCATATGTATGTATGCTAAATACCCAAGACGTGAGGAAAACTTTTACACGGGTGAATAAACAATTGTTTGATATTATTTACGATCTAAATTTTATTTTGTTGATACAAGTGATAAGTAGAAATTTTTGGGCACGTTGTAGCCTAGAGCATAAGCACACAATTTATATTTTAATTGCAAGGTTGCTTAGATATTTCTGATTCCCTATGATTGCAAAATCAGAGACCATAACTATTGTCAGGGCTATAATAAAAATAATGAGTAATGGGACGTATGCTTGCCTTCCTACGAATCGTATAGGATAGTACTATACAGAATTTCTAATTTTCGAATTAAACACCATGAGCCCTATTAACGTAAGCGAATTTTTTTCACGGTTAGGGCTCGTTATATGTATATATGTATGTATACATATGTAAGTATATGGGTCAACATATGTATATGGGTCAATCCATGTCAAATCGACCAATGGTTGAAATGGAATTGATGTGGATTAATTTTGGTAAGAACTTTTCTTTATCATATAAGTAACATAGTTTTGTCAAAGGAAAATAATAATAATTTTTTTACAGTTGTGCAAAAATAAAAAGTTCCCGGATTTTTTTTTTTTAATATCTTAAAAATTATTATAGTTACAAATATAGTTTCAAAGTTGATATTTAGCGCCACAAAGAAAAAATATCAAAAAAATTGGAAAAATAAAAAATTACAAAGTTTCGAAGTCAAAAACTCGTTAAAGCAAAAAAGAATTTTTCTAAATTTTGTATAAAGTTTGAAACTCTGATTTATATGGTTTTGGGCAAAACCTTGGACACGAACAAAAAAATTTTAATTCAAATTCTATTTTTTTTTTCAAGTACCCTGTTTGCTAAAATAAACTAGACCCAACTGTTATTGTTACTGTAGAGAAAATGTGTGAAATAAAACCGGGTCACGTTGCCATTTTTCGAATGATTCGAAAACCGGGTTTCGAAAAAGTTTGAATAATCGAACACCCTAGTATTTACAAGGAAAAAAAAAATTTTAGAGGTATGTATTTTAAACGTGATCCAGCTTCAAAATGTTGTAGTGGGAGTCATAAAATACGCTAAATTTTGTAATAAGCTTGAAATAATTGCATTTTTTTTTGTGAGGCATTGCTATTGTACATATGTACGTACTCATATAAATGCATTCTATGTACATACTATATAAACATTAAAAATGTTAATGGTAAATACTTTTTAAATGGTTTTAGAACGTGCCTATCGGATAAGCTATATATGAGAAAAATGCATTTCGTAGCATTAAAATCTAAAATTTGTCACGTAGATAACATTAATAAAAATCACCACAAAGCAAAATTGATTCTCATTTAGTAGCAGTGCGCCGGTCAGCGAGCTTTCACTTCCATATCAAATATCAACAAGTTCAGCTTACAAAATACTATTGCGCTAGTAAAAAGAAATGCAGAGTCTTAAAATTTTCATTTGGTTATTGGTGGCATGTAAGCAACAAATAAATGCTAAAGTGCTGTGCTTAACTATTGGCGTACTACTAAATACTCTCTTAAAAAACATTTGCAGATTCAATAACATTAATAAACGCGCGCGCCATTGATGATGACTTGGCTACACGTCTCGATGAGCTCGCTTCAGATTCTGAAAATGATGAGCGCTTCAATGAAATCAGCGATTTGGAGGACATTAATGAAGTTTACTTTCCCAAGCGACGACAAAAGTCCAAAAGTATTACACGCAACTGGGATGTGTCAACTAAAAGGCCGGCTGATGTTGAAGAATTGACCACGGAAATTGAGAAAGGTTTTGTCCAGCCAATGGTTTCTACGATGTTCAGTTTTATGCGTGATGTCATGCGACAAGTTTTTCATTGATAATTCATAATTCCGGGTTATCATCAGTGTATTAAGATGCCTAGATGAATTTATGATTATGTGTTAATTGTTGTGTTTGCGTAGCTTATTTTGTGATAGTGTGTTAAGTACAAAAAAAAAAACTACCGATTAGTTATTTAAAAGAAAAACCGGAAATGAACACAATATTTTTATTTTAAAGAGGCTAAAAGCATAAACAGACGGCAGCGTTGATCCGGATGAGCTCGAGAATGAACTGCAGTTGATCCGGATTAAGTCCGAGTTAATCCGGATCAACGCTGCCGTCTGTTTAAGCTTTAAGTGTGCGCATTTGGAGGCGAGAGTCCTTATTAAGATTTGGTGTACGATGGCCTTTTAAATCTTAATTTTAGGAGTACCCGGAAAAATTGCGCACAGAATAAAAATATTCAGAAGTATATTTTAATCAAAATAAAAATTTTCTATCTCTCAATTTGGCCGGAAATATTATTAATCGATTAAAAACTACTGACTGACCTATAAGAATTACTTCATGGTGATTTAAAAAATTAAATAGTTTCTTTTTTAACCGGTTACCAATTAAAAAAACCGGTTTTATGTACTGGTTACCAATTTTGAGAAAACCCAGTTTTTTCTTTTTGGTAGTTTTAAAAATGAAATCAGTTTTTTTGTACCGGTTAGCAATTTTGTAAAAAGCGAAATATTTTTTCTTAATGTTTAAAGACCAAAAACGTATTTAAAATTTTACTAAACAAATAATCTTATTGTATTGTTCGCGTTTATTAAATACCGAATGATGAAATGGCTAAATCGGGCATTAATCAATCCATTCTCATATAACGGTATTTATGAAAGAAACGGCTAAAACTTCGATACTTAGGCAATCACTAAATCAAAGTTGTTAAACTTTTGTATGCACATGTATGGCATATGTATAAAGTAATATTTTAGCAACAAACTTGGTTTCATAAAAATTTGGAAAATAATCGTTGTAGATTTTTGTGAAAGACCATAAAAAAAATCTCAAAAACTCAAAACTTAGTACACATATTGTTCGTCGTGTTTCTAAGAAAAGTGTTGGAAAATTTTGAAATCGCCGATAATATTAAAACAAAATTTATAAAAAAATTTTTTTTTTAATAGAAAAATGGGCGTGACCGCTCCGCTTTTTATGAAATTGGTAACCGGTGCCAAAACAATCGATTTAATTTTTGTGATAACCATAATAAAAAACTAGTCTTGACCACTCCGCTTTTCTCAAAATTGGTAACCGGTATAAAAATCCGGGTTTTACAAAATTGGTAACCGGTACTTAAAGCTATTCCATTTTTTAAATCGCTGTGAAGTAATCCTTGTTTCAACCAATTATGGCCACTTGTATTTTTCTACATTTGTGTTGTCGAATGCTTAGAATTTAGCTCTATTTTAGTTTCGGTACAGGGCGCTATGTATATTTTGATTCTTAAATCAAGGAATTTCTAGAGCAACTAATCGATTTATAGATTTGCTTGTTTATTATTTTTTATCTTTGCGATTCGATTAATATAATAGGTAGCGATGGCACAGTCATCATCAATAAAATGTTAAGAAAAGGACACAGGAAACTCTAAGAGAAATTATATATGTAAAAAAAATTTTAGTTTCAGAATTTTATTTGACAAACAGTAATTAGAGTTATTTTAAAGAGTCAAGTCCATATAGATTTGTCATTACTTTCGGCAAGAAATCGACTTAATTCTACGTGTGTAGTGATAGTTTACGTATACATATTGCTTTACAGTTAGATGGCATGGCATTTAAAATAATTTATTAAAATACATATTATTGTATGGTTGTCGAATTCTTAGCAAAGTTTATAATCTGGATGAGTTCTTCGTTCAGCTAAATCACATAGTGACATATCCACCGTCTCAAGATCTGAAATGAAAAAATAAAATAAAAAATAGTTATTGGGGTTATCATAATTATGAATTGCTACTTAAATATATCTAATTTGATTTTGTTCCGTGCTTGGAGCCCGTCACGTAAAATTATATAAATCAACATTTTCAAACTTGTACAAAAATTAAAAAAGCTCAACAAACTTTACCAATTACTCGCAAGAATTTCAAACTTTTTTCAGTAGGATAAAGTGCGAATTTCAAGACTGCATACCTAAAAATTCTGAATAAAAAGTTTGAATTTTTTTTTTCGGTTTTCCATATAAACAAAATTTCGCACAAACTATACTTTGTATGGAAGAAAAAAAATTTAAAAAATCAATGAAATTTTCAAGAATTTTTAAACCTGCATATTATTAAACTAAATAAAATTTTCCTAAATTGGGCACACAGCTTTAAACTTAAAATTAAATGGTTTATGTTATATAATCTGCTATATTTTCATAAAAAATGAACGAAAAATATGTAAATATAAAACATTCTGAATATTTGTGAAAAATATATGTGTGCTATTTACGTGAGCGCCACTGTATTTATGTACGGAGGCAAATGCTGCCGCCCTAAAAGTACGCGATGTGCTACCCACTGGTTGCGGTAGAGAAAGTGGAAGAGCAACCTATAGCATACCGATCTAGGCTGAGAGTACTCAATAAACTTACGCTTAAAGTGTTGTAAGAAGTTACTAATTTGGTAAAGGTCTATTAACATTTAACACTTAGTATCTCAGGCTGCGACCAATTTAGCCCCTTTCTGCATATCATTCAGAAACAGTGGCCGGTTTTGACAATGGACCCTTTTACATTGCAAAACGAAATTCGATCTTCTAAAAGTACAATTAACCAGCCTAGCATTACACTTAGACCATTTTTATTACAAATCACCTATCTCGTAGCTAACGTTACAGTAGCGGTATTCACCAAATTGAGCAAGTGGCCTGGCACTCTGATAAAATATGTACTACAAATGATTTCAGTTTTTAAACTTTTTTTCGTCCAGTTAAAAAACAACTATCGTTATACATAATTGTAATTTGCAGACAATTGGTCTCATCTTTCCTGCGGAGACAGACGTACATTCACTCTGTGTTACTATTTGGCGCCAGCTAGTAAGAAGAAGGAACGACGGGCGTGCTATGTTGAAGTCGGTCAATTTTGTTGAGATAAAAAATATGTATGCATGTGGCTTTGGTGCATTACGCCAAGAATTGAATCGAGTCTTGATGTAGTCACAAAGTTTTACGTCTGCTCTGAACGGCAGATAATTTTTTTATGAAAAGTTTTTTTTTCTGGTGGCCGCTATGGCTACGGTGAACATTCGTCCTTTATTTTAAAGGACAGTCCTTTAATTTAACCCCCTGTACTTTATAATTGTTTTCAAAATAAAGGACGCATTTTGTCGTTTATTTCTTAAACTGTCCTTTAAATCAGTCCTGCATTTTTCAGAGGTAAACTTTTAAATACAGAATATGAAAAATAAAAATATCCCTTATAAAATATAATGAAAACCCTTGCCAGTTTGTTTCGCACCCCACTTAAGGATTTCTGTTTAATCGGTAATCTTTGTACAATGTATAAAGCGCAGAGAGGATCGTTTTGAACGTTGAGTTTCCAGTTCCACTGAAAGAGAACAATAAATACCCTGCTGCACAGTGGTTCAAAACTGGCATTTAGTGTTCGTAATTCACTGGAGCCTTCATTGTTCACTTAATTTGATTATTATTATTATTTTTTTTTAATGAAAGCTTACAATATTTGCAAGAGACCAGTTGAGCCTGATTTGTGAACTTTTATTTGATTATATTAAATTTTTTAGTGCAAATCGCAGAAAAACGTAGAAAGTTTGGACAAAATTTATTCTCCTGCTCCAGTTAATAAATGTTACATAGCAAAAACTAGTTGAAAACAATTATATGGTTTTCTGAAAACGAAAAAAATTACACAAAAATTTGAAATTTTATAAAAAATGTTCACCAAAATAAATGAGGCGTATTCTGATTTTCGTACGAATCGAAAATTTAAAATTTTTGTTTAGAAAATGTTAGGGAAATTTTAATATTTTCGATTCGTACGAAAACAAGAATACGCCGCAATATTTTTTTTTTGGTTTTTAGTAAAAATTGGTTCAAAAATGAAGGCTCCGGTGAATTATGAACATTCAATTCCAATTTTGAACCACTGTGTGCTGGCTTCGTCGTGCCGTATGAATTATGGTAAACGCATTTTGGAAGCAAAAGATGGCGAAGTCCTTGAAAAGGATTTGGCTTCATTTTTCGCTACACCGGGGGAACTTGTACAATTAAATAATATAATTATCTGGTAAATATTTGATTTAAATTACGATATGGGTAAGGTACTTTTATCATAAAAGCTGTATGTACATACGTATTCCCAAATCATTTTGAAAAAATTACCGGTCACCGTAGCTATGGCTGACAACAAACAACAAATTCGATGAGGAGCTCGGCCAAACACTTAGCAAAAGTGCAAGCGCCAAAATATTTTTTAATATTATTTTTTGTGTAAAAAATACACACTGACGTTTATTGTTATTGCCTGCCGAGCTGTGATTGTAATTAGATAAAAACTTGTTCTATCCCAAGACGGTTCTGCAATCCAGGCATTGAACCTGGTTTATAGAGAGTAGTATTGGTGCGCGCCTCTAACGACTGGGCTACGGCGGCTACCAGATGAAAAAGCTCTTTCAAATATCTGCCGATGCCAAGAAGCGTCGCTCATTAGTACATATTATTTACGTTATTTTTATTATATTGCATCACCTTTCAAATCTGATTAAAAAAAATACTCAATGCTGAATTTGTTAAGCTTTTAAAAATTTCTACTAAGTGCAATTTGAATCTCTCGCGTCTCAGGCTTAATTCTGTGATTAGCAGCTTAATTTAAATACATAATTTCAAGATCTACATACATAGCATATGTACATACATATGTATATGTTTATAACCAACTTTCACTAGCATATATGTATATAGTAAGTAGTTAATTTAAGTACACTTACTGTGTTTCTTTGAGCATTTTAGTTGATCATACTGGCATTTGTTGGGGAATCTAGCATAACAATTGCTGTCATAACCACAAACGGGATCGAATATTGCCGGACATATTTCGTTGCATTGCTTCGGTTCAGATTGCGGAGCTGACGTTGTCAAAGCGACAGTGACGAGCACTAATGTGAATAATTAATTTAGAAGTTCAGATTTTAATGTTCAGCACAGATATTGGTACTTACCAATCAATAAGGAGAATATAGCCACTTTTGTAGTTTTATTTTGCATATTGATTTACAAAAAAAAATGTAACAAATTGTTTTTCAAATTATTCTAATAAATTTCTCTGCACTTTTGCAAAATTCTGCTGGCGTTGCAATCTGTCTATGACGGGAACTCTTATTCGACTGGCTGCGCTGCGTCGCCTAGAGCGTTCTCAGTGGCGAAGCGCATTTCTATCCCAGTTTCCGTTATAAAGTTGGATTTTGCATAGACATACATATCTACAGACATACAGTGGGCTCCAAACAATCTAACTAATCAATGTATATCGAATTGGAATTAATACTAGGCTTGTAGTACTTGAAGTGTATATTTATATATTTTTTATTTTTTATTTTTTATTTTTGAGTTTGCATTGGCACTTGGCTTCACTCGGTGTTTTTATGTAACGACTGGTGTGCTATGTTGAACTCGACCAAGAAGAAGATTGATAACAAAATTGTATACCTAATCAATCGCACTTGATCAAGATTACATATGTACATGTGTAGGGTTGCCTGATTTAAAATCCTTTTTGATTTAAAATCTGCTTTTAATTAAGTAATTTGATTTGATACATCAACCAAATAAAAAATAAATTTTATTTTTCAGTTGATTCATTGGACAAATAAAAAATAAGATTTATTTGTGATTCCATTCGTTGCACAAAAAAAAAAAAAAAATAATTTGTGATTTGATTCCACGGAAAAAAAAATAATTTTATTTGTGATTTGATTGTCGGACAAAAAAAAATAAATTTGTTTTTTGATTCCTTTAACAGATAAAAAATAAATTTTATTTGTGATTTGTTACGTATTGAAAAAAATTCCAAAACCGTGGTTGCCTTACATAAAAAGTAATTTATTTGTTAGGAAATCACGAATAAAATTGGTTTGCTCGACAAATCAAATTCAAATCACAAATAAAAATTGTTTTTTATTGGTTGACGAATCAAAACACAAATAAATCTTATTTTTTTACTTTTCCGATGAATCAAATGACAAATAAATTTAATTTTTTTTATTTAGCCGAGAATCAAAAAACAAGTAAGATTTATTCATGAAATAATAAATTTATATTATTTAACATTAAATATAAATTTAAACTCAAAAATTAATTTGATTTTTGGATTTGTGATTTGATTAATTCGAAATCACGCAACCCAGACTAGGGGGGAACTAAGCCGATTTCGTGTAAAAGGTATTTAAATAATATTTAAAATTTTCGTTCCAATATTTAAGGTCTCACTGTATTTGGGCGACAATTTGCTGAGATTATCATTTAAAACGCCTGATACATATTACGCGGCTGAGCTTATTACTATATATGTATGCACATGTTCACGTCATTGCAAATACAAACAACAAAAATTTCCCTGGTAATTTCAACAAATATGTATTGGAATAGCAAAAATTCAGACTAAGTCTGGGTTATCATAACTGTATATATGTATGCACAAGTAAGAGTATTAATCGTTTCTACAGTTGATATTTAAAACATATAATAAGGGGCGTCTTTAAATGTTGTGTACGTGGCTCGTGGTCGAAACCAGGGTTGTTTCGAATATTCGCAAAAAATATATCAAAACACATTGAGCGCATGGAATGGAACAACAAAACGGATTTGATGGCTCTTGGTACCGACAACGGTGAGTAATTAATTGTGACTGCCTGAAAGTAGGAAAAGCCAAGCTCAGCTAACTAATAAAAAAAACTAGTTACAAGCTGTTCATTACAGGTGAACCTTTCCAAGCAAATCTGCAACCTTTATCGTCCGTGATTCCAATAATTGAAACTATTATAAAAAACGGGGTACCTTTTTAACAAAATAACAAGATTTTAAACTAATTCTACTGGCAGCCACGACTTTCAAAACAGAAATTTTCTTCGAAATTTTCATTCCTACAAAATAACAATTTATTAGCCATATCCATCTACTCACAACGTCGCGACGCTATAAGCACACATTTTTCAAACCAGTCACAGACGACAGGATTAAAAATGAATTACAAAAACTAAAATCGAAAAACGCTGATGGCGTAACAGGTTCTCCAAATTCTGACACAACCAAAAGAATTGGTTCTCCAAATTGGAATACAACGGTGTTTAAACAGCGATGTAATTCTCTAATTATTGAACCGCAAAAAAAAAAAACTGAGGTCCTCTCAACTGGTACAAGTTTGTCGCCTCGAGCGAGTAGTTATTTAATGGCGCAGGTTTGATTTACGACCCGTTAGGAAACAGGCTGTAACCCGAAAAAGCAGCAAAATACAATGTTCCAATTTTTTAATTTAAGTACTAAATAAAAAAAATATTAAAAATTACTAAAATTTACTAAATATTTCTTTAAATACAGTGAAAGGTCGCATAGACGGACGCTCTAATAAGCGGACACATTCTTGGGAACGAACAATTTTTGGTTTCCATACAAAATGCTCTCCCATACACGGACTTTCCGATAAACGGACGCGGACACTCAAAAATGTCCAGTTATGAAAAAAACTCTCCCATAAGCGGATGCGAAGCTCTAACAAGCGGTCAATTTTGTTTTGTTTTTCAGTCAAATGCTGTCTCTTGCGCTTCTACATATGTATATGTACACAAGAACTTAGCCCATATTCAAAAATATTTTCTTTTTTAGAAAAAGTGTTGCCTTTTCGTTGCCAATGGGTAATGAGATTTGTCGGTAGGAAAGAAAACGCAATAAATTTGAATTTATTTTTAATTCAAATATTACTTTAATTTAAATTTAAATTTTTTAAGTATGAATTTTTATTTTATTTTTTACGAAATTCCTATAAGCGGACATGTCTCATAGGCGGACAAAAAAGGTGACCATCGGTGTCTGCATATTGGAGCTTTCACTGTATTTGACATCCGCATTCGCATTCGCATCCGCGGATGTCTAAAATTCCACATTCGCAACATCCCTGGTCGAAACGATTGCGAGATAACAAATGCAAATATGTACATACATACTATACATATGTATGTATGTTCGCAGTATGTAAATATATTTACTTATATGCATTTGGTGAATGATTTTGAAAATATGTTTACTATAAAGACGTTAAGGCAATTTTATTTTATGTATATGTACATGCGTACATACAGATGTACATTTGTGAGCTAGGGTGACATTTGCTGCATACAATAAAAAATCGGTAATTTTTCCCCAAGTAAATTTAAACCTGGTTTATTTTATCAATCCAGCTTAAATATTTATATTGATTTCGAATCCAGTAGTAGGGTGGGATGTGTTTTTTATAGTGTAAAAAATAATTTCATAAAAAAAAACAAATAAAATTTTCTAAGCATTGTAATACTTTATCAAGTAAATGCTCTTTAAGAATAACAAACATCCTAAAAAGTTTTTTTTATGGAGTTTTCAAAAATTTCGCCGCGATTTTTTCTTCATTTCCTCTGTATCTTTAAAAATTTTTTTTTTTAAATTAGAGCACCCGAAAAGTTCATACGTTTAATGATTTTTGTAGAACTTTAATTTACTGGTAGCTTTGGGTGGTATGTACGTTAGGGTGGTAGGCACTGAGATTTGGTGGGTAAGTACTAGAACGGGGTACTTGGGGTCAATGAACTTTGGGACAAAAACAAATATCCTAGAGAAAAGAACAACCACATATGCTACTTTAAGATCTGACTGTAAATGTCGAAGATACGGCGAAAAAAATTTAAAAAGACGACGTCCATATTCAGCAAAAAATAAAAATGTCTTTTCAAAATTGCCTCGTAAAAATACTTTCGACTCAGTGTACGGCCATATTTTATTTTCCGGTACGATCTAATATACATACACGTTCGTAAAAAAACAAAAAAAAAACTCTGCTTAGTTTTTAAACCCCCTCTCTCGAGTCACTAAGCTCACCAGAGTTTTTAACACATACATATAGCTTGGCATTTTCGGCGTTGTGAGATAAGACTCCAATAGAACTGCTGCTGTTTTAATTTGCAAATATTTGTATGTACATATTTTATAGATTAAATATTTAAAATCATGTAAATATATACTTGGTAAAATATTTCATCATAGACATACACATAGAATATTAAATGCTCAGTACTGTTCCTGCCTAATTTGTTGCCGGCAGTTTAAATTTGAACTCACTTGTTTTTCTCAGTTGACAGTTAGCTGGAATATAGGGCGATTAGTAAATACAGGGCATTGCTTGCACGTTTATATGTATGTATATGTATGTATGTATCGACATATGGATTCCATTCACACAGTATTCGTAAATTTGTATTCATTGCTAAATGAGCGCCGTTGTAATGTGGCTGTAAGCTCTTTATTAATTACGTCTTCTAAAAATAAATCCACTCGAGATATATTTAGATGAAGAAGGAAGAATAATTCAATGGAAAAAATTATCGGGAAATGCAAATGTACTTACGTTTTATAAATATACATACTACATACATATGTATGTACGTATAAATAGTTTACTCATAGACTTGCAAGAGAGAGAGCCATTTTTCGCACTTATATTGAAGAGAGAGCAAGAACCAGGATATATGCATACTCTTCCAGGTACATACATATAAACGAATTTTGTTTTTAACTTAAAGAAGGTAAGCATTTGTTGTTATTCTGGCAATGCTGGTTTTAAAGATTTATATTTCGAACTTGCAGGAGTATGCAGGATGATACGCTCGCAGAAAGCATATCAAAAAAATGCATCCGAAAAAAACTTTGCGTTCATTTATTTATAAAAAATACAAAAACGAAAATCTGGCAAGCCTTATTCTCTCACCGCTCTCAATGTCCGCAAAGCCGTAACTTAAGAATCTAAAATCTGCTTTTATGCCTTTTCCAGGAGGTCTGCGAATATCGCTATTGAAAGCCGTTTCGACGTAACTAGTTGGACTAAACGGAGAAGGGTGCTAGCTGAGCGAGTTTAAGAGGGTAGGTGAAGAGCCGGAAATACACATGTTGTTGGTTTGTCCGGCTTGAGTCTGGATAAGAAGGAGTTAAGCTTTGTAAAGTCGTTTATTGTCGCTTATGGCTTATCGGATCTAGTGATTATGCGATCTTGGCTCTGCTCCCAGAACTTGTCTGTTCGAATATTGTCTGCACCATTAGCCAAGCAGAAATTGTGCTAACTGACGCACAGTGCGGCCGAAAGGCAAAAGTGTGGCCAAAATTGAAAAAAAAAAGTTTCTAGATAGGGCCTTTTCATCAAAAAATTGGCTAAAGGGATCTTCTAAGAAGCGAAAACCGTTCACAGTAACGGCCTGTACCCCAAGTCAAAAGTACATTGGGTAAAGGAAATCCAACAAAACTAAATGGAGTCTACGTCAGAAGGCTAGTAAAATGCGCAAACAATTTTGGGAATAACAAAATTGTAACAGAATTTTTTTCGAAGGGCAAATCTAAAGGTATTATGTTTTTCATTTATCATTTTCTTCATATCATCGAACATATTGACATATTGGAAGAAAATTTGCCAAAAATCAACGGTAAGTTCTAGCTACCTCAAACTTATACTTTGAGACACTAGAATTGAGTGGGCTATAAAACTGCATACTCAGAATCTTTCTTGGAAATCTAATTCAAAAGCTCTAAATTTACGAGACGCCATACTGGATCCGCCATTTTGAATTTTGCAATTCTGACAGTGGATTCGTATATAGAGTTCCTGAAAACTCCCTAGTACGAAATTTCGAATTATACCGCATAGCATCTCATATCTTGAACTTTTTTCAACGGACATTTGTGGGTATGTGCATTAGTGCGGGTCAATTTGTATGGGAGATTATTTCAACTATGCGCTCATAGCATTGGAGGTTTCTACAAATAACTCTAAGCCAATTTCCAGAAGAAACTATGGGTCTAAAACAATTTGGAGTTTGCCATATTGCGAAGATAAGTTTCTTTTATTTGGCAGTTTGCTGTAGTGTTGTAAAGAAGTGCTTAGTTTTTGTATAAAAATTGCTACCAAGGGTTTTTGGCAGAGAAATCTATTTCTGGACTTACCTTATTCCTAAAACATCCGCCAGAGGGCGCAATAGTGAAAATTTTCACATTTTCTTACGAGATAAAATAAAACGTATATTTAACTTTTTCATTAAAACTAAAATGTTTACTACGAGAATTTAAAACTGTTAAACTTTGCACATTATTATGCTAAAATTGAATGGACTATAAAATTGCATACTCGATTTTGTTTTTTTAATTCTTAGTAAAAGGTTTGCAATTTTTAATGAAATTTTGCAGAATTCTTCTAATTTTCGTACATTTTTCGGAACCTAGATTCATATGATGTTTGTTAAAATATAAGCCATATTTTATTAAAAAATTAACAAGAAATTTTGATCGCGAAACTATTGTGGATACTAAATATTGTGAGTGGCTGTAATGAATTTAAAACAATTAGAATTTTTATTGAAAAAATATGTAAAAAATATACATACGAAATAAAATCGTAGTTTTTTCCCATTGGAATTGTAGAATTTACTGTGTTTTAAAGCTTCCACCAAAATAATTCGGCAAAATGCTAAGATTTACGTGAACTGGACCGATTTAAAAACACCTCCAAAAATCGATTTTTTTGTATAAAGAAAATTTGTTTTTAAAAATATTTTTTTTTTTTTCCAAAAAATCACCCCAAATGATAGCAGAGTTTTAGATTAAAGGGTCTGCATAAAAATGTTTGAAAATTTTGTCAACCGAATAAAAGTAACGAAATTTTTTGAGGTGTTTTAAAATCGGCCCAGTTCCCGAAAATCTTAATATTTTTCCGAAAAAATTTGGCGGAATTATAATCCATTATGCTATACGCGCATATAAAAAAAAATAAAAAAATGACCTGCCCTAATGTGCATTCTAGAATTCAGTTAAAACTACAAAGAAAATGGAAAAGGGAACTTTTTCTACCTCTACGCAAAATCCTATTTATATCTGGTTAAAAATCAGTTTTGGATAGCGCCGAGTGTAGATAATTAGATAATTTAATGACAATTACTGATATATAATGACCTACATGGGATATAATGACCTATACAATATCCAAAATAAAACTCATATTTTGCGTATAAAAATATTTAATTATCATTAACAGTTTATTATCTGTTACAGTTAGTTTAAGTTTCCAAAACAAAAGACTTAAGTTAAGAACTTCAACACACCCACAGTGCCATCATAAATCTTCGAATAGATTCAGCAGATCGTCATCGACAAGTAGTGGTATACTAAGTAGAATTTCTTGACGCCACCCGCCTTGCGCCCTCAACAGTCAACTTTCATGCAACACCCGATATTTGAGCATTTTCCATGACAGAATATTCTGGTTGAGCTCCTCACAAAGACGCACAACACAACCTTTGCAAAAAGAAAACACAAAAACGAAAATAAATAAATAAATAATTATTTCTTTTCTTGTTTGCATGCAAGTATAAACAGGTTTAAATTTTAAAACACTTGCACTTAAAAGTCTAATTAAGTTCAGAGACATCAAAAGCTTTTTTCAGCTGTTCTTTTTTTTTAATCGATCACACGTTGTATGCCAAAAAGCGCACAATGCACACACAAACAAAAACTCATAACCGACACACTCGAGTAAAGCGAAAGCGTGTCGAAGCAAAAGTCAATTACAATTCAATTTGCAATTCTCTTTCAGACACTAACCAACAAGATATTTTATAACGCGCAGCAAAACCATTGCAAATAATCTAAAAACCAAATTGTTTTCGAATCGTAATATTTTTTGATGTTGTTGTGATTCTAATTTTCTTGTTGACTGTTGACTACTGACTGCTGTTACTGGTTGCTTTTATTGTTGTAATAATGTTGTATAGCAAATTATGTAACTTTTAACTGCGAAATTGTGCTGCTGCCGAACAAACGCGCGTTTTCTTTATCCGTTTACGTTGTTTACTCGCCAACGTTTAGAACGTAATTGAACGCAGAATTGAATTGCATCGTTGATCTTAAACGAAAAATATCCAGCAACAACAACAATATGCAGCGCGTTAGCGTTTGAGCGTTGTTGACTATTTGCTACAGCTGATTGCTGTTGTTGCGTTGCAAGTTTGCTTACTGTTGGCTGACAGTGGCAGTGGTAACGGTTAGTTGCATTTATTTGCACGTTCGCTTAGAAGATTGTAGGTCGTGGCTTTGTGCAGCTAAGTGTGCATATATGTATGAATGTGTGTAAGTTTGCTGCATGCACAGCGTATTCACGGTTGCCACTGTTGGTTGTTTTCAACCAAACTTGGTTGTTTTT